CTTACTAAGACGCTTCAAACGCCTAGTAGGTTTTACTTCCGGGGTAACTGGGATAGTAACCGCCGGTATAATAACACTCATAATGGCACTGACTGCGTCATCTAGACGTGTCACTCTTACTAGCGACGCTATCATCAGGAAGTTCCATGGCTTTAGACAGTAGTTCGTGAGCCTCCCTTATTAAAGTCATCTTTGGGGAACAACACATTCTGCACATCCAGTGGGATGTTGGAGCACTACAACGTTTGTATGCAGCTGGACGTAATCCGGTACACATCTTATGATACCACTTTTTACAGTTATTACACTGTATTCCATCATCTACCAAAAAGTAACACTCCGCCTTATTACATTTATGTGGTACTTTTGACATAATGAACTTCTACTGGAAACAGCCAAGACAATTTACCCAATATAGACTATATAAGTGGTTAAAATCAAAACTTAACTGAAAAAAGTCAAGTTAAAGTTTTAAAAGCTGTTCTTGAAGTGAATAACGCAACAAAAACAGTGATTTGTCAAATACGTGAAAATACGTGAAAAAAGTATTCCCTTTTTAATGTAATACAAAGTCGAAGACTTACAGGCGAAACCAAGAAACTGGCTGAAGAGGCTGTCACAGAAGACAGGACTCCAGGTGAATGCAGAAAAGATAGAGGCGATGAAGATAGCCAACCAAATAACAGCTACATTAAACAGCACCAATCCCTATCAACGAGAGAAACTTGAAGGAGATTACCTCCTTCATTTATCTAGGGATCATGGTTTCAACCACCGGTAGTTGGAACTGATGAAGATGTGAAAAAAAAAAGAATCGGAAAGGCCAGATACTTCTGCATCAACCTGAAACCAGTTTGGAAATCTTCTGCACTCGGCATACAGAACAAGACTCGCATTTTCAACACCAATATCGATTCTGTCCTTCTAAACGGGTCAGAAACTTGCACTGTGTGTCACTAAAAGGATTTCCAACAGATTGCAGACTTTTATCAACAGTTGCCTTATCTGCCTCCGTAATGAAGATCAAATGGCTGGCCATAAAGAATTAGCAACAAGCAACTTTGGCTGGCAACAAACCAACCAAGTGCCGATCGCTCAACAAATGTGTAGGAGAAAATGGAGATGAATCGGGCACACATTGAGGAGGCTGTCGAGTGATATCGCGCGCAATGCAAGCCATCACTCGAGTGGAATCTAAATGGGAAGCGACGAGTGGATCGTCCTAGGATGACATGGAGGAGATTGTGTGAGGAAGAGATGAGAGAGTTTGGGTAATCGTGGACTCAGCTGAAGAGGACGACAGAAAATAGAACAAAGTGGAGATGTGTTGTTGAAGCCCTATGTTTCACTCAAAAGCCAAGGGAACAATAATAATAATAATAACTCTGGCTCAGGATCCAATATCAGTGTGCTATCCTTATCGGAAATTAACAGATCGGGTAAGGGATTTCTATTAGAAAATAGTCAAGCAGTCCTTATTGTTAATCTTATATGTGTAAAGACTCATCATAATAAGTTGATTTATCGTATCATACGACTCTGCATATCCAGTATTGTCACACAGAACCCCATCCTCAACCGATTGTACTCCGAGCCCGACACTTCCGGCCCCTTCGTATCCATTATCCGATATTTCCGGAAATCTTCTGGCCAAATGCCGGTGCAGCTTTTGTGACTTCTAATGTCACTCATCATATCATGACGACCGACCAGTCTGTGTTTGCCAAGCCACGGCGGTTATCTCCAGAGAAGCTTCAGGCTTTCAAGGTGGGGTTTGTACACTTAGTCAAAATGGGGATAATTAAGCCACTCAACAGAAATGGTAACTGGATATAATATTATGAATTGGATGGATTCTAGTAATTATGGAAAGCTCAATGCCCTAACTATCCAACATATACAAAACTTGGCTGCATCTTTGAGAGATTCATTCATATTTAGTAGGTTTGACGTGATACGTGCCTACAATCATATCCTGGTTCATCCTGATTATTTTTTAAAGCCTGCAGCTATTGCATCTCTCAGAGTTTCCTCACATGACACTCGGCATACGAGGTACCACACAGACTTTCCACCGCCTCATTCATGACAACTTTCGTGGACTGCATTTTGCTAGTGTTTAAGTAGACGAAATTCTGATAGTCACTCCAGATGACAAAAATCACCGAAGTCACGTTAAATATATCCCCATAGTTAATCTAACCAAGTGCCTACTTGCCGTTGGCTCACCGTTTTTGTTTAGGAAGCGTGACTGGTAACCATGATATTCGCTCTTAACCTGAAAATATGCAGGCGATTCGAAACTTCCCAATGATAATCTCTATCACAGCACATTCCTAAGTTCACTGAGTTATTACCGTAATCATGACCAAAGAAGCCTTGGAAGTGTTTACAAAAATCAGCAGCGCCACTATGTTAGTACATCTAGACGCAAGCTCCCTTTCAGTATTTCTTTTAATGCACCTATTGCAGCTGCCCTACAACAACTTATAAGTAACACATGGATACCTCTTACTTTCTTTTTCAGGAAGCTGTCTGCATGCGAAATGCGATATAGGACTTTTGTTCGTGAACTGTTTGCCTTCTATGCTTTCATCGAACACTTCCATCACTTTGTTGAACTTCGTCAGTTCACCATCTTTATCTATCATAAACTTCTGATAAATACCTTTCGCACTACTTCCCCCAAATGAATTACGTCACTTGGACCATATTTAGCAGATCATGTCGGACACTCTCTATGTCGCTGGTGTGAATAACACTGTTGCACACAAATTGTTTCGAATTTGCACCACTGTAGTTCCTCCAACTATTGACTAAAGGAAACTGGAGGAACTCCAGACTTCGGATATGAGTGTAGATAAAATGCAACACTACATTTCTCTGAAGACACAGTATGTACCCCTTTCCAATACTGACGTGTCCACAGGCTCTCCAAGACCTGTGGTTCCTCTTTCTTCACGCCAAAGAGTTTTTGAATCACTACATGACCTGCGCCACCTTGGTATATGGACAAGTTGAAATCCTCCGGATTTGTCTGGATTGGAATTAACTGTGTGGTGTGAAACCAGACTGGTTCTTGTACAAAGTGCCAGCACTCGATGTGCACAAGCATACCATCATTTGCCATACGCGATGCATGTTTTAGTCATGTTTATCTGGATACCACTGGCCCACTGACATTTTTCAATGACTACTCACATCCGTGGACGTCCTTACCCACTGACCAGAAGGTATCTGTGTACCAGATACCAGGTCTGAAAAAGTTAACTGAGTCTTTATGTATACATGATTCATGCATTATGAATGCCTTTCTAAGATGACAATTAGCCGAAGAGAACGATTGGAATCTGCAGCTTTCAAGAATTCCTCGAAACTATTAGGAAACAAGCGCATTCGAGCCACGGCATATCAGCCATTTACTAATGGCCTGGTAGGATGCTATCATCGATAGCTTAAAGTTTCTTTAGCGGATTTTGAAAATGTTAAACAGACAAATTATTTCCCTTTAGTCCTTCTCAGCATCCTCTCCACCCTTGTACTGGATATACAGCGCAACTTAGCAGAACCAGTTTACAGAACCAAACTTCGTTTCCTCGACGAATTTAATGTTTCGGAAGTTAGTAAACCAAGTGCTTCCAACGATTACACCGATGCCCAAAGTCTTACTTGCTTTGTGCGTCAACTACAACGGATGCGAATTGGTACGCACAGCGGAAAAGAACAATTGGATATAAGGCTTCAATGTTGTACATACGTTTTTGAGTTGTAATGCTGTTCAAAAATCCTGACAAGCTTGCTACCATAGACCATAGACCCAGCCAGGAGAAATAAATTTGTTATGGACCGTGGGGAATGGCAAGATAGAGCAACGGCGGATTTATTCGGAGTCATTGCCTTCTACATCTGCAACATCAAAAAACCCTGATTCTGAAATAGACTAAAGTAATTGCAAAATCCCTGCAAGACCTGGAGATATATATGTTAGTAATAATAATAGTTGTAAAGAACCTTCTAACTGCACTGGTCTAAACCATAGGCAGATTTGATAAATTAGACTCACGAGAATGTTTACATATAACCAATTAAGCCCAAAAACCTGAAAGAGGACAGTTTTGCTTATGATTTTCGTTTCGCCCAGCTTTTGGTACATTTTCGGGTTTGACGATTTATCATGCTAATATTCTTTATTTTCCTCACTGAAGATACAATGAATCCCTAATTACTCCCCTCGGACCGTTCTGTGGTTCCCACCCTGCAAATATCCCCCCTGTATACTCCCTTCCTAGAATAGGGATCATAAAAGGCTTTGGATACTTTGATCACTATGAGGTTTGCGTCGAAATACAAAGTTTCATTTCGTAATATGTGTTGTCATAGTTTCGCTAGCTTCGGATAACCACATGTCACCTGAGTCATCTTTATTATACAAGGTGTCGCGTCCGCCATACAGCTGCCCCTCCTCCAAGGGTCGGTGTCTAGTATCCCACAAACATTCTAAGGCGTGAGGTGAGTCACCTGATCACGGTAACGAAAATGCTAAGAACCAATGTCCCAAAAGTCGTACTGGTACGACCAACAACCGTACACAATGGTATATATGTTTTCACTATTTATCATCGGGTTTCTGAACATTTCTTTTTCGTGTGTTGTTTAAAAGTCTGGGAATTTTCACTATGCAACGTTTTACGTCAACTTGTCTGTCTTTCCTTCCCTAAAGCGATACAGCCAGGCGCCTTTGCTAATAACTCAATTTCAATCTCAGTCTACTACGTTAGTTAGTGTCACTCAGCCATTGAGCGCAGTGAATCACAGTAGTTCGCCAGTTAAATTGCTCTACTTCAAGTACTCAGCTTAACTATAAAACATCTTTAATAAAATACACCTTCCATTTCACAGCCCATCTTGCTAACTGACTACATTTGCTTCACTCTCTTATGTGCACACTCACAATGGACACATAATAGTGCAATCTGAAGAGTTCATTGAAAAGACAATCCTTACTAACCACTGTTTTAATTTGATAATATCCAGCGTTATCGTATATTTAACAACTGTGGCACAAAATATGTACAAGCATACTTCTCCATTACATATACAAATAGAGAGTAAGGATTAAACTCATCAATAGAAAATCACGTAATCCAAATAAAAAATCATACATTATGTAGGGGAGTGGTCGGAACACAGAAGTATGGGATGCCTTTAGACAGACATGTCACAGAATCATGAAGATATATGCAGTACAACAGAAGAAAATGAAAGCAAATATATATCGACACTGCCAAAGATATACGTATTATTTACAAACTGTGAAAGACACCGGACCAATTTGCCTTCTAGAAAATATTCAGTGTGGAACTGCTGTCGAAAACAATCAGCAACAAACAAATCAACGTAGGTTCTTGAACATCGCCACATCACTGCACAAAATGCTAGTCAACAGAAAGAGATGGATATTACAAGATATAAATGATTTCCACAGTGAAATTAAGAACAATAAATATTACAATGAACAAAACGAGATAGGACGTTTGAACAAACGTTAAGAAACTATTCAAAACTTAAAGGATGAAAACCAGTGAACGCATATGTAACATGGTGATAAATTCAAGGCTAAATCTTTGGGAATCTCCAACAGTTGATTCCCGAGATTTCGAGTCTTAGCTACGTAGCATACAGCCTCTTAAACGACTCAGACTAATGACTAGAGACCTCGTCAGTTGAGAAAACCTACCCGCACCAGCCGATCTTGACAAATTAACTAACTAACCGCTTTCAACATATAACTTTGCACCGATATGCAGTGGTTCGAGTTGCCATACTTCACTTAGCAAATAAAGCAAGAGAAGAAAGTAAAAAGAAATGCAAAATAGAGACAGCAAACAGAGATATATGAGGCAAAAAGAATAATAATATCGAAGAACCATAGTGTTATTGGATATTATAAGTCACAAGAAATGCATACATCTGCGCCAGACATTGACAACGATGATTTTCAGGCATCTCACCAACTGCCTCCAGCCATTGGTTTTACCGTCCCAAGGACCCCAACCAGGAAGTCTACACCTTCCTGCGTGACTTAAACTAACTGTTGTGGATTCCATTGACTGATGAAGCCATGTTTTCATTTGACCACCACTAGCTAACTCTTTTCCGACATGTGCATCTTGTGTCAGTTAACTAACATTACCCATTGTCGAGGAAGGCGATGGATGGCTAAGCATGCATGACACATGTCCTAACCATCTCAATCGATGTAACTTCACAACCTCGTCGATTGATTTCCCCTCTCTCCTTACCTAGCACTCCACCGACACCTAACCTCAATATTACTCACCAACCTAGTATACCACCACCTAACACAGGAAACAGAATGCAGACACTTATGGTCAAAGATAGCTAGTCAGGCTTTCTGTCTTCCACTTTCAATGGCCATGTGTCGCTCACAGCCATAAAGGAGTACACAGCGAACTACTGAGCAGTACACACGTCCTTTAATCGATAGTCAGCCGGATATCACGTCTACGCCAGAGACGGCGTGAACTGGCTTATACGAAGCGAGTCTTCTGTATCCGTGCCGAGATTTCGTCAGCGATCAACCCACTGGCAATGGCTGATGCAATTTCCCAAATAAGTGAAGTGGTCAACACGCTCCATCAACCACTTCACTTCCTATTTCTAAGCTAGGAATCAGTGTAGTCTACTGCTGTAGCATCATCTTACATTCGACAGGAACGATTCACAACCCAAACATTCGAAGATTTCTGCTGAAGGTGTTCAGAAGACTTTGCATTTTGTCAGCGTCTTCACCTAGAAGGACTATATCATCTGCATATTCTAAGTCGAGATTATTTCCTGGTAACAAGTCAATCCCTGATTCTCTAAAGTGAGTTAGGGTTAAGTCCATTAGTACATCTAGGATGGAATTAAATAGAAATGGGGATAGTGGGCATCCCTGACGGACACCACTAGTTGTCATCACCTCAGATAACAACTCACCATAAGCTCTCACCTGGCTGACTGCATGAGTTCGAGAAAAGTACCTTGATCAGTGCGATGTATTTCCTCGGCAATCCCTTCATGGCCAAACATGGCCATAGTACCTCTCTGTCGATGCAATCGGATGCCGCCTTTACGTCAAGAAACATGATGATTGTTGGACGCCTACGGTAAGTATGCCTATGTTTCAGAATCTGTCGAAGGGCGAATGTATGATCAATACACCCTCTTCTTGTTCTAAAGCCTGCCTGGTGCTCCCGTGTTTGTTCCTCCCGAGAACTGCTTAGTCTACGCATGATTATTGACCCTGGAACTTTAGATACCATAGTTTTCAAGCTAATCCCCCTGTGACTTGTCTCCCTTTGTGCATATCGGGATAATCAATGACTTACACCAACCCGTCGGGACTTCCTCTGATTCCCAAACGCTGCCTAATACCTTAGTTAACGCAGATAGTAAACTGTCTCCACTACCTTTAAACACCTCTGGAGTCATTCCATCAGGTACCACAGCTTTGCCTCGTTTCAGACTAGTGACAGCCTTAGTAACCTCAGTTAGGGACGGAGGACCTGTGTCTATATCCCACTCAGGTGAGGTGTTGGATGTTAGGTAAGTTGAGCGTGGCTGTAGGCCAATTCAACTGCTCCTCAAAGTGTTCTTTCCAACGTTACAGTTGTCTATCCTGGGAGTTCATTATGGAACCATTTTTCTCAGAGATTGTTTCACTTATCCTTTGCCTTTTCCCACCTGTCTCTCTGATAAGCCTAAATAGTTGTCTGGTGTTACCAATCGCCGATGTCTTTTCCACCTCTTTTGCTTTTATTGCCCACCACTGTTGACGTCGTTACGAAGACTTCATTTGCAGCTTTCGCTCATCATAATCGGAGCTCGGCGGAATCAGTCTTCTTGCGTCAATCAATTCGGATGAGAGATCCAATGGCTCTTATTAACTTTTGGTAAAAGGCCAACTGTATGCTGTGTCAGGCTACCTCAGTAGGAGGAGTCTTGTTATCGATCTCAAATACTCGTTTCGCTATTTCTTCCTTAAACGGGGACTCAGAGTCTCGATCCAGTTGGGGATGTAACTGCTTCGCTGCCAACAATCTTTTATGTCCATTTAGTCGTAAGCATAAACGTGAGCGAACCAGGGCGTTATCGAAGTCTACGCACGTGCTCCAGAAGGAGCGGTAGTCTTCTATTGACCGTCGTTAACGATACCCTATTGCTTTGTGGTCTATCTGAGTCCAGCGTTGATTTGGTGATGGAGGTCGCCACCAGGTCACGCAATGTCTCTCTTGGTGCCTAAAGCCAGTGCTGACTAGAAACAGATGACTATCTGAGCAGAACTGTAGAAGACAATCACCACTTTCGGTTCGTTGACGTACCACCTACATACTTCTCAGTCTGGCATAACTTCCCTACTTGGGCATTGAAGTTGCCTGCTAAAACGACTGTGTCTGAGTGTTCTGCTTCTTGCAGCAACCTAGACAGTTTCTGGTGGAAATCATACTTTAATTCATCCGAACTGCAGTTTGTTGGCGCTTAAGGGGAGACTATGAAAAGACAACGACGGGTGATGCCGTCCTTTCTTCTTCTAACAGAACCCTTCAGATGGACTGCACACATACGACTGTCTACTGGGATCGTCAACAGGGGATTTTTCGGCTCAATGCTATCCCCACACTTGCGAGTTCTCGCGAACTAGCTGAGGGGTCTCCTGACACCCCTAAAGTGAATTTTTCAGATTCACCTTGTTGGCCGGGTGAGGTTAAATGAATAACCACACTCGGGTCTTGTATGCGCGTCTCCGAAACACAACATACATCCATGGCTCGAGATTCCAGAGTTCTTGCTAGTGATGCCTGTTATCCGATTTGGCAGAGGGTCCTGACGTTGAATGCTCCTATATGAAGTTGGCGACGTGGCTTTAAGAGGCTGTCGGGGATGTTTCTATGGCTCTCATCGTTGTTTGTGGTCACAGAGTGAAAGTGATTCACTAGCCTGAAGAATAGAACTGGCTGTAGTAGGGAAGTAAGATGATGCTGATGTGGGTAAAGGAGAATGATGACCAGGAAGGCTTCGTGTGCTCTTGGTAGTGTGTGGGCGGTTGTTACTTCCTGGCTGCCCACACCGTGGAAGTTGGTTGGTTTTTCGGGTACCCGGAACAGAAAGAGGGCTAGTATTGCGTGACCGCAGAGCCCAGGGGACAACTGCTTGTGGCTGGTTACATACGGCCTGTATGAACTGGGTTCTGGGATTGGTTTCGTATTAGTAAACTTACCGCCCGTTACGGACCACCGTAGGGTGAGGCGGGATGTACTATTGTTTGGGTCGACCTTTTCTTACCCCCGCTCTCCAGCAGAGTGAAGGGACAGCATAGCTGGCATGCTGACAGAAACACCTTATTGCTGTTACACCCCTGTTTCCCAGCAGAACTACTTCGCCCACAGACCCCCAGCGCAGTGTAGAAAAGAAATTCTTACACAATGCCGGTAACTGCTTTTAGTCTAATCGCTATCCTAACAACCCTCCTGGAATGGTAGGACCTGCAGGAACAATAGTTGCAGTAAGTGAAGCTTGTTGGGTCATTGTGATGTGCAAGCCCGACCACCACGTCAAAGTAGCAGCTATCGGTCTATATTGTCTGACCCTCAATGCCTCTTTTATTTTTAACTCTCCCCTAGTATCTCATATAGTAGAAAGGGAAGTCAGTGCAAAAGGTTATAGGCTCGTACTACCAAGCATAGGAACCCAATGATACCGTAATTGGTCCGTGTTCTATGTGACGGATAATGAAACTTATGAATTACCCTGTTGTTAGCTAAATTAATTGGCCCTTTTATTATGCCCTATTTGTTATCTATGGTGACACTACCTCAATCGACTGACAGTCTTAGCTACTAAACTTTTTACAATTTTGTATATATATATATATATATATATATATATATATATACATATATATGACTTCACTGTCACTACATATACCACATAAGAACTATCATTAGAAACCCTACAATGCTATCCTTATAATTGCTTTTAATATTATTCCATAAAAGTAGATGCAATAATGTACCAAATGCTGCAAATTCCGAACTGTATCATTAGTACGGTTGTGGAATAAAGCAAATTATTGTCGTTGCTACTAAAATCGGCCGTCGAGGAAGGCGATGGCTGAGCATACATAACACAAGTCCTAACCACAAAGCGAATAAAAACTAAAAATAGACTCATGCTAATACTAATGGGTTTTTTAATTGCAGAACCTGAAAAATTTATTTTAAACCATTGTTCGCTCTGATTATTGTTGTTCTGAATAAATAATGGATATTTTCAAGTCATTAAAATAGACGTATTAACATGCGCATAAAACGAATCGAATGAAAAAAGAAAGTATTCATAGGGCAAACTCGTGATAGCACGTGCACAAAATAACTTGTCACACAAATTAGTGTCACAGTATGAAAGTGAGAATCAAACCAACCCACTTGGTCCTACATTACTCTCCAAAACTCAGAACACAGGCACTGTTGTAGCAGGGTACACTGACTACCTAACACATTTCCGAGGTTGTTTTGTAATCAGTAGGATGGCGAGCACGCGGATGACATGCCCACCTCAGAGTTAAACCGGTGATTATCATGTGAGGAGTATGAATATGGAAATTGGGGGAAATATCATAAAGAATTAGAACATTTCTGCTGTTCTCACACTAATTATAACGGTTTTTAGGACTATGATTTGTGACTTAGAGGTATAAATTACAAAAGTAGCTGAAATATATGCGTCACTAACTGTGGCATACAGACAAAAATTACAATATCAACCTCCTAAAAATACACGTGAAAAAATAAAAACTTACAGGAAGCGAGGTTTCACCCCGACATTCATTTACGGAAACTTCTAACAACCATACTGCTCGAGAGTTTACGACTTTTCGGGGGTATCAAGTCATCTGCATCCTGCTCGAGCACCGCAGTAGAGTGCATCAGCGGTGTGCCTAGTGCGTTTCCATTGTCATGAGACATACATTGTGGATATCTCAAAAATAGAAAAATGCCAATAAAGGGTTTACCTCTTAAGGCTATCTATCGTTTTCTTTTTTTCATTCAAAACGGCTGAGAATTTTGAAAGCAGGACTGTTTCTTTATCCTCCATTTCTGACATCAATTCTTTGTACCTCTGAAAATATTTCAATCTCAAATATTACCTTTGTCGAAACTTCTGCTAACGACCTAAGGATTTCATTTTCCTTCTTCGTATCTTGCAAACACGTTAATAAACCAGTACAACCGGCGACGAATTTAAATGTAAGTTCCTGAAGAAACTTCAAATTATCTTGTGCACGTTGCATACGAAAAGACCCGAGAACAATCTGAGTTGTCATTTGGAAATGCTCTACCTACTTTGATGCCATTCTTGATTTCTTTAGACCATACAAACTTCAAGTCTAGACCATCCTCTGATAAAGAGAAATATCGCGATGGATCAGTGGAACTAAACGATTCAAAAAAATTCTGCATGTACTGATCTCGTGACTGCTTAACTGAGTCACACATCACATCCAATTCTTTGCCATCCACTGACATTATTTGCAAAGAAAAGAAATGAACAAACCCAGTGAACACCAAAACCCATCTTTATTGGCTACAATGAGGAGGGAACCCGCCTCATAGAGAAATACAACATCATAGCTATTGACTTCTGCCTGTCCACAATACTTTATTTGCATTCCCACAGTACAGACAGACAGGAAAGTCAAGAAATGTATCAGTCACTCCAGTCGCTAAATTGCAACAGACGCACACTGCTCGCGTTAAGGCCGAGCACTTGAAGGTCACTTGTGCAAACTGTGATTGGCAGGCTTTCTTTTGCGTGAACATGAGGCTAACAACATGTTATTGAAGCAGGATTTGAAATCAGATTGACATTATACAGTCAGATGATTGTAAGCAATAGTTTTTGCTTGAAACGTCATCAGTTAATATTACTGTATAACACTGTGATTTATCAAAATAAAATCTTATCCATAATAGAGTTATACTCTATCACAGTGCCCAAGTTTTATACTTATATCAATAATACAGTCAGAGGTGTTGATTGAGGATAGATGGCCTGTAGCTTATGTTAATCATTTTTTGCGTCGGTGGCACAGTGGTTAGGACTATCGCCGACCGTCCGGGGTTCGATCCCCTGCCGGCGCACACCCGATATCTATGGTCAGCCTGAATTTGGGCTACCGATATCCATGCTGAAAATTCCACACTTGTACTGAAAATACGGTGTGGAATCAAGCTGTAAATCAAAAAAAATCCTAGTAAATTTCTGTGCTTGTCCAAATCATTCTTGAATTGGTGAATAGAAGGCTGTGACACCACTTCTTCTGGGAGTTGGTTCCAGTTGTTAAATAGGAGTGGAAACCAGTACCCCAAGAATATATAGTTCCTCCTTGGTTTTTGAACTATGCTGCCATGTCCTCTGCGGTGTTCCGGCCCAGTGGGATGAAAAAGAGGGGAAAGATCATGTCTGTAGTCATTCTTTAGAGTTTAAAATATTGTGATTAGATCTTTCTGCCTATGGTGTGACAGGGAGAAGCAATTTAAACTGTTTAGTCTCTCCTCATATGATAAATTGGTCATGCCGAGCAAAATACATTTTGTCTTCCATCGGAACCTTTCTAGAATGTGAGTCCCCTTTAAGACAAGGGCTGGCTGCCTGGATATTATTTTCCTGTCCTGGACTCACAATAGATGTGTTAAGGCAAATGAACATGTCTCTAGGGATTCTAGTAAGAGCTCTACGAAGTTCTCATATAGATCTGAAACTATGTGTAGCCAATGCACGGCAGTGTTCTGTAGTTTCTAAGTGGTGACTTAGCACGACAGCTAAATCCAAATGAGTCTGAACTGATGGCAGTGTTATTTTCTCTAGTTCATATCAGCTATTGTTGACGTGCCCCAGGCGCATGGTTGTGCATTTTGATATGTTGGTCGGCAACACCCAACCTCTGGATAACTCCAACAGTTTGTCAAGGTCCACCTGCAATTTAAGCACATTTCAGCTCCTTTCGAATCTTTAAGTCATCTGCTTACAGGACCATAGGGGAATCAGTAAGCAGAGATAACTCATCGAAATACAAAATAAATAAGAAGGGACAGGGTGAAGTACTTTGCGGCACTCCACTATGTACTGTTGTCCAGGAGGAGAGTTTTAAGTTGATCCTGGCTCTCTGCCTCCTACCTATTAGGAATTCCCTAATTCACTTTAGTAAGCCGCCTTTGGTTCTGAAACTTTCCAACTTTCGAAGAAGTCTTTCGTGATGTACTTTGTCAAGGGTTTTGCTTAAGTTTATGAAGATGACTTCAAAGGTTCTTTTACTGTCCCCTGACTTGACCCAGCTTTCTCTTACAATAAGGTTTGAAACGCATAAGACGTTTCCTCAGGAGCCATCCTGTGCTCTGCATAACAAGTTGCTGTTTTCCAGATATGCCATGACACCTTTCATGATGATTGTTTCTAGTATTGTGATGAATGTGTTGGTGTGCCCAATAGGCCCGTAATTTGAAGGAGGGTGTCTTGATATTCCTTTGCCGATGAAGGTTACTATGGCGTCCTTCCAGTCACCCCATTCAGGAGAGGTAGCCTGAAGATCGTGTGCGAGCTATATGAGTTGATAGCCCCTTGAGAAGCCTTATTTGAAGGTCAACAGGTCCCACCGACTGCTCCATATCTAGTTTCTTTCCGAACTGAATATTATTTCTTGGTCGACATCGATGAAGTCTATCCTGTATTCCTCCGATGCGGCCAAACCTGACGCCATGGGGAGTGGCGGCTCCTGTGTAGAGACATTGGAGAAGTAGTCTGCCACTGCCACTGCTTCTCACTCGTTCCCTTCGGTAGTGTCATTGTTCATAGTCATGCTTGGGACCTCGATGGATATCCTGTTCCTGGGGTTTGCGTACGGAAACAATTTTCTTAGGTCGTGCCATTGCATTTTGATCCAGGTATGCTTCGAACTTCATCCTCGATTGGCGGATTTCTGCAGTAGCTATGTTTCTAGTGACGTTGTATAAATTTCTGGTCTCAGAAGTCTCAAGTGTGATAAATAGGTTCCAGCATTTATGCTTATGCCTGAGTAGTCTACATATCTCTTGGTTTATTGATGGGGGACAGTGTTTTTGACCCTTTGGGACAGATCAAGAAGTGAAAGTTTGGGTTGGCATGGCGTAAAGTTTCTAAAATTAGTCAAACGCAGCTTCCACGTAAGAATTTGAATTGATATACCAGTCCGGTGATGCAGCAGTCAATACCTGGCGCTCTAATGGGCGTACCAAAGCTTAGTCCAGATGGCGTTTTGGCCTATAATACTGTTGCTGAGAACTTGCAAGTGAGCACAGTATGATCACTTAAATAAATAAATAAATTTATTCTCATAGTACAGTACATGAGGGACGCCAGTTTACAGGCATCATCAAATTGTTATAGAAATAGAACCATATAACTCAATCACAATTTACAGGCAGTAGCAAGATATGCTTTACATGTTCGCTGGAGATCATACATACACTTGATAAATGTTAATCCCAGTAGTATAAAACAGCATTTTCACTTATATACAGTCATTTCTGTGCAAAAAAATCTGCTAGATTTTCACTGAGTGCAACACAACAGGAAATACAGAAGCATTGGGCTGGACTTATCCGGCATGTTGGTTGAAATTTTGCTCGGCAAATTTGTTTTGTCAATAGTTTTTAATAAAATTTTGTTGCATGTTTTCTGGATTGATAGGAATTCTCATTTCCTGGCTAGTTATGTTGGTGTCTGCGTCATTTAATCTGACTGCGACACACTTAGCATATTGGTTGTAATGATTAGTGTTTCATGCTGAATGCGTCAAAACATATCTACAGTGAAGAAGATGAGGTAGTTGGGGGGTAATGTCATCTACACAAATAGTTTATTTCTTGTAGAAGCTGCAGCTTTCGACATAGTGTCATTCAACGAAGACTTCATCAAAATGTGGCTATTTTCGTGTGAAGAACAGCACTATTTTACAAAAGAATGCTATCAGTACATGGGAATCACCTATAAATGCCAACAGAACATAAAACCAATGTGTAAACGAACGGCTATGGAACTGCAATCCAACATAACCGACTAACATGGACGAAAATGACCTTTGAGCGTCTCACTCCATCAATGACCTTGAGCATGCGGGATAATTTCAGCCGAAGCATTGTCTTCGCATTAACAAAAAACCAGGTCTTTGGTGGATGGATTATAAGTGCCTGGGAAAAAAATAAAGCTTGAAGTCAATATTCATACATAACTTTGTTGTGTGCAGAGTCCTCGAATTATAGTTCATTGATGTGTTATTTTGAAATCAGTGATATGTTTATCTCATTTGATCTGCAATGTCATTGTTGGGAGTAAATGTACATAAGCTTCAGACGCATTAATTAATGGATTTCTACTGCTTGTGGGTATTTTCTTAGCGTGAGGAAGGTTTATGAATTTCAGCTGTTCCGACAGGAGTTGAGAATATTAACTGCTCAGCAACATTATGGATATAAGTTCATCACATTATCTAAGGAAAGGTGGGTTGCAGTTGGTGAGGGAACGTATGGTGTTAGGTCTACACTCTCACTGTAGCAGAAAACCAGATCCAAGGTTGAGGAGATGTGGTGTGAGTCATAGCGCAGGGACTTCCTGACCACTTGGACTGAGGTCAGTGAATTAGTAGGTTCCAAAAGTTGAGGGTCAAAGGAGTTATGTTAAAATAATCCCAGCATATTGAAAACAATTGACAAGATTTTTCTGAACTTATCGTTATGTAGGCCACAGCTTCTTCAGAAAATTTATCTAGATTTTATTAACCATCAAAATATATAGTCAAAAATTATATAAACTGAGGTGAACCCTTTTGAAGGTCGCTTTTCGGTAGACATTTATGCCAATAAAGAATTGCCGACAGTCACCATATATCTACAGTGCCCAATGTCAAACTATCACCTGTGCTAATCTGGCAGCATGAGTATGTGTTAGTTATATTGAAAAAACGTCAATTAGTGTGAACAACATGATATTTTATGGAGATACCAACACAGGATCGAATAATTTTTTCACCTGTTTCGCTTTATTAGAGATATTCGTACTGATGATTTGTCGATCCCTTTTTTCCAGGCTTTATTTCTACCCCATTTCTAGGAGGACGTTCGGTGTAAAGTCTGAGTTCTATTACTTTGACCTTCACTTGTTCACCACTTCCCCAACATCCTCAACACTTTAACCCATAGACACACTCGTTTTGTGTCATTTTCGGAAACATATCTCACACACTCACCGAAGCTTTCTCTAACGAATTAGAGGGAATTATACGAAGAAATTACTTTTTGAAGCTGTTTGGCCGTTTCCTTTCGAAATGCGATGGGTGTAGTGGATGCCCAAGATCTTTCAGCTTTCTTTCCCCTCTTGTTATTTCCACTGATAACGTTATTTAGAAGCCCTCTCGGATAACCATTTCCAAGCGAAATTTACCTTAAAGTGGAGATCCCCATCTCCATATCATAGCTATTTTGTAATATTTCTGGCTCTCTTTACGAAATTAAATGCCACTAGGACCTTCATTCTTATTGGATGATCCGACTGAGAATTCAAATATCTGTTTGAATGTGCCGGTTTTCCTGAGCTTTCCGTCAGTTCGTCTTTCAACAATGTGAGGCAAGGCAGTTCAGTTGGCTTTCTTATGTTTAAACTGTTTGCTTATCTGATCTCAGGTCGGCTGCATAGCCTGCGTGGACTGGTGGCCCAAGCCGACACGATGAGCGACCAGCGGAAAGATTCTTCCGCCCTCACACATCTGTAACAGTACTAATTGTATACAGAGTCGTTAAC